TAAGTTCAAAATGTATAATGGTGCACGAATATAACATTCGTTCCCATTTCCTGTTCTGGTATTAAGGGAAGATAACTCCGTAATTTTCTATTATTCTCACAAAAAGTTATCTAGAGATTTCTTGTATTACTAGACACGCAGAAACGAAAGACCTACCAATTCTATTTCAGGACGATGGTAACTTCAAAAGAAGATGGTAAGGTCAGTGGGTTTTTTCGACCATGTTTTGATTTTTTTTTTAAATTGCCTGATTCTTAAAAAGACTGGTACTTAAGCACTTAATGCACCAAATGCTCTCAACAAGGAGAAAAAATATTTATATAATAGTTAAACATGTACTTTTGTTAGCTTTATATTTAGTGCGCGAAAAAAAACCCACATACAGCAGGATTAAAGCTAAATTAGTTTCAGAGTACCTAATGACCCGACTTGGATCAACAGCTACAAATTAAGTGTAAAATATACCAAAAATTATTTTTTCACACAAAAGCCACAAAACGATTGAAGCTCTTTCATAAATATATCAAAAAGTTTGCTGTTAACTAAAGCTTTTGCACCAATACAATAATTTTACTTCAAAAGTTTTTTTTTTATAAAATTGTTTTGTCATGTCGACAACGGACGTCAGCTATTGGTAAAATCAGAGCTACGCACGCGCCTTTGTTAGTAGGACGAGATTAATTGAACCAATGCATGCAACTTAGACTGAATAACTTTAAGAAACATATTTGAATAAGACTGTTTCTTTTCTATGGAAAAAACTCCTTCGAAATGAAGGGGAAAAAATAAATTCCAAATCATGGATTAAAACAAATTGTAAAGAAAACCTATCTTGCCTGCGATTACTGCTGTTAATGAAAAGTGCAATGTTGACTGTCAAACGTGAATCGATTTATTAGTAAAATACATTATATAAAAAAACCAAACTTTTTCTTTATATGCTTTTTTTATGTCTTCAAGATAAGCCTCTGTCCATGTTTCATAACAATCTATGAAGGTTTATAAATTCATAATATCATGTAAACAAAATTAATCCCAGATTGTCTGTAAATATGTTAACTGCTAAAACTAAGCCCATCTAATTGTAAAATACTTTGAAATGGAAGAAATATATTTGCATGTCATAATCATAAAAAGCTTCTGCCAAAATTTCTTAAAATTCCATTAAGGTTTGAAAAGATACGGTTGTCTAAAAATAACTATAACCACAGACTGAACCTAAATGTTGACGCCGCCGACGATGACGGAATCTATGATCGCTATCATAGATATAAGAAGATGTGGTATGAGTGATAATGAGATAACTCTCCATCCAAGTCACAATTTGTAAAAGTAAACCATTATAGGTCAAAGCACTGCCTTCAATACGGCGCCTTGGCTCACACCGAACAGCAAGCTATAAAGGGCCCCAAAAATGACTAGTGTAAAACCATTCAAACAGGAAAACCAACGGTCTAATCTATATAAAAAGTGAGAAACGAGAAACACTTATGAACCACATCAACAAACGACAACCACTGAACATCAGGTTCTTGACATGTCTCGCTTTTGCGACATAAATATCGCAGGTTCGACAAAAAAGTATTAAAAATCCATGACATCATTGACAAAGACATATACATGTAATGAGTACAAATGTATCCGATTCATGAAACATTTATTAATTTAAGGTGATTCTGATTAAAACATGCCTTCTTGGCAAATGTTTGAAGTCTCAAAAGTTGCATACTTTTATAAGGATTGAGTACTACATATGACTTTAGAATTACATTACCCACTTAGTGCAGTATTTATTTGGTTCTACTTACCCTTATTCTATCGACGTACCTGGCAACACTCATTTTGGGAACTAGGCGGTTTCACTTATCCTTACTCTGCATGTCAAAGTTCCTAGTCCCATTTAGTGTGAAATCCAGGCGGTTCCTCTTACCCTCAGCCTATCGACATTTCTAGTCCCACTCAGTGTAGAAATCATGCAGTTCCTGTTACCATTACCCTGCTTGTTGATAGTTCTAGTCTTACATTGAGTCTGTGCAAAAAATTAGTATGCGAAGATTAAGAACTAACAACAAACGATTTGGACACATTAAACCCCATTCAAGCCACAAATTGATGTTAAAAAATCCTAAATTATAAATATATCAACTTTGCTTTAGGAAGTTGCAACTTTAACCTGACGCGTATTCAGACGGCGCCCCTCTCCTCTAAAAACAAAGGGGAAAAACTGTTATTTATAAATAAAATTACAGCCATTTTTTGGAAGGTACTAAAAAAATGGTACTCTAACTCCGAATTCTCCAAAACACATCCCCCAAACATTAAATCCTGGATCCGCGCCTGTTAAATAGTTTTACGAAGAGTAAATTTACATACAAAATGTATCATTTGATTGTGCAGAATCACTTACTACCGGGCGGAGATAAATTCATCATATATATACCACGCTTAACATTTTGTACGCCAAAAGTACGTTTCGTCTACAAAAGACTCATCAGTGACGCTCAAGTTAAAAAGGCAAAATAATGTACGAAGTCGAAGAGGATATGGAACCCCAAATTCCGAAAGGTTTTGCCAAATACAGGAGGGTATTGACGGTAAATGATAGTCCACCGACATCGTAGCCGACACAGTGGTAGTGAAAAGGAATATATGTCAACGATTCCGAAGTTATATTTTCTTTCATTGAATAACAAACTTGCATTATTCTTTATGAAACAATTGTCTTCTTTCGCTACTAGAACTCAAGCATACACAAAGATGTTAAAAGCCTAAACAATGTATTATTCTATGATTCCAAAATTTTAGTGCTGTGATTTAAGAAATGCTTAATAGGCTATTAAAATATTTTGTTTTGTATTTTATTATGAACATACTCGTATTGCTAAAGACCAATGAATTATACACCAAGATGTGGTGGAACTTATTTGTTGAAGATGTCTTGAATTAATTACTGAATTATGTTAACAAATAATCATTTAACTCTCTAAATTTCAGTCTAAATTTTCCTCTACCCACTAGGTGGTAATCCTTTCATATCTTTCCCATTTTTCTGTACAAATACTGTAATGATACTTTAATTTATCTTTGATATATAGTATACATTTGTCTCTATATATAATTGCCTTTGATACCTCGCACTCCCTGCACAGTTCTGAAGTTTGAACCCACAACAGAGAAAATATTAACTTCAGTGGTATTAATGACAATTATTAGACATTATATATGCCGTATTTATTCTGCAAGCACTAAGTACTCTTTCAAGTTCTTTGAATTAAGACATTCTGTGTTTCCAGTTGAACTACAGAGAATTCAGTATGGATACATCGCCTAAAAGACAGCTATAACTTTAATAGACTATATGCAAACTAGAAATGTATATTCAGTCGTTATCCCCACAAGTTCTGATTTCTGGTGAGGGGGAATATTATAAAAAAGAGAATAAGTGTATAGATGGAATATTCATACTAGGCATTGCACTTCCTGTAAAACACGTGTTCGCCTCGGCCGGAGATCGGGAGGTTGTGGGTTCGAACCCCGGCCGGGTCAAACCAAAGACTTTAAAATTGCATGGTATTCGCAGCTTCTGCGCCAAGCACGCTGAATTAAGGAGTAAGAGCAAAGACTGAATACAGAGTTTGTCTCATACTTTTAAAAACAGGATTTCAAACAATATAAAAGAATTCTTATACAAAGAAAAATATACTAAAACTACAATTTTAAGGTTGAAAATACCCCAATTAAATTGATTGTTTGAGGTGTACTCTACTTATTTCCGCACGTAATTTAATAAACTACTATTGAAAATCTGTGCAAAAATTATTGGTAACCAAAGAAATCATAAACTTTTCGTTCCTGAAGTTTAACATTTTGCTTTTATGTAGATTTTCTTTATTTTTGTACTTCCACCGCTTTCCTTGACTATGTTGAACCGGCGCATCTACCCCAACGAACTTGAGATAAAGGATACAACAGATACAGTAAAGTCTATCTCATATCTTGACTTCGACATCTAGAAATTGACAATGGGGGTCGGTTGAAAACCGTGGGCAAAACATTACGACAAAAGAGATGATATCAGCTTCCCAATTGTGAACTTTCCATTTCTATGTACCAACATTTCAGCAGCGCCGGCATACGCAGTATATATCTCCGAGTTGATACAATATTCCAGGCCGCTTGTATTTCCTATCATGATTTCCTTTATAGAGGGTTGCTGCTCACAAGGAAGATACTTAACCAAATGTTCCAAGTGGTGAAATTGAAATCATCCCTTCGTAAATTTTACGGACGCCATCACAAAGATAGTTGACCGTTATGAAATATCTGTTTCACAGATGACGACGGATATGTTCCAGTTGTCGTAACTACAATCCCGTCCCCCCCCCCCCCCCCTTTTCCCGAATGTGACCTACCGAATTAGATTTACTGTCACCGGGTTTGTACTTACATGAGTAACACGACGGGTGCCACATTCTGTGTTTTGTGTACTGCTTTGTTTGTCTTTTGGTCTCTTTCTTTTTTAGCAATGGCGTTGTCGGTTTATTTTTGACTTAAGACTTTGAATGTCCCTTTGGTATCTTTCGCCTTTCTTTTATAAATTTCCAGGGATATTTTTTATCATATCAAACTAAATTTGTGTAAAAGGGAAAACTTTTTTTTTCTTTTTTTTATCTTTATGTGTTTCGAAATTTTTGTTGTTGTCAAAGCAAGTGGGAGGTTTGTGGAAGTATTGTTTCTGAAATTATTTATAACAGAGACATGTATATTTCAATAGTAATAATGATTTATATATAATTATAATTCATTTAATCAGAGATATATCTAGTACAACATATGATACATGGTGCCAAATATGTCTTTATTTATATTATGAATAATGTATATTATTGTAACAATAATTACAATAATAATATAGGTCTGACTACAAGGTGCTCCAAAACCGGAGGAAGCTTACAGGAAAAGTCAACGTCAGATGGCAAGTTTCTATCCCCGTTTCACATGAGCTCCCAACCCAAACAAAAATTTGAACTTGAAAATTATAAAACCTCCATTTGTCCCAGTGTTTAAAAGAAGGTAAGATAAGAAAATATTTGAAACAAAAAAATAGTTTTAAATTAATGCAAATCAGTTTTCGGTTTTGTTGGTTTTAAAAGCTCCTTACGACATGTACATGATGTAAGCACAGGGGTTTGTTACAATTTGCCGGGTTTACAAGTGTGTTTTTTTCGGGGTTCGTATGGATAGTAAACCCGGCAAATTGTAACAAAGCCCTGTGATGTAAGAGCTTATCGTCGATGATTGCAAGTTCGTTATGCTTGTAAGTTTGTGACATTTGTGAATTTTCACTTTATTCGTGACGACATGCAGAAGTAGTTATCATCGGCAACGTGCTACTTCAAAAAAACTTAAGCCGATATTTTTCATTCCATGTTCACTAATATCTGCTTTAAAAAGATAAGTTGTGTACATGGTGTATGTTCCTGCATATTATTTGCTTAAACGTTTATTTCCACTATTACTGTTTTATTCCTCTCATAGAATTTCGTTGAATTCTTGGGAAAATCCTTTCAGCAATGTTAGTGACATCTCAACAATGAGTCATCATCTATTTTTAGGTTATGTGGCACTCAATTTCCTTTTTTTAAGGCCAAGAGTATTATTTTTTAAATTCTGTGTATGTGAGCGGATTTTTTAAGATCAGAAAATGATTTGATGTATTTTGATAAAACAAAACATGCCGATTATTGGCTGGATAAAAGTGATTTAATCCTGTGCCATTGAATGCAAATTGAATGAAAAAATACTTTGATGCAATAATGAAATTGTGACATCGTTACAGTTATCTTTAACGTGTTTAAAGTGTGTAATTCTGGACTTTCCAATTGACCATTGGAAGTCACATGTAAAAATTAGAATAATTGTTGTATGGAGAATAAAAAAGTAAATATGTCCCAATTTCTCTTTTTATCGAGATATTCATTTGTTATTTGATCTCAAAGTTATTCTGTAATGTTCAAATACATAATACAATATGCCTGACCTATATATTGTTGCCCATGCGCAAAAGCCACTGTCCAAGACAAAGGTCACGAACTTACAAGCATGTCTACTTATTATACGGAATCGGGTCACAATGCGTAACATAGACAGACTGACCATGTTTCTGTAGCTATTCATCAATAAAGTGTATCAGACTGTTTACAAATAAGTAAAGAATATTTACATTCACAGTGGATAATATTTGCTCCAAGGTTGTGATTTTTTTCTTCCGTTTTGATTGAGTTAGGGTAATGATCATGAACTTCCAATGATCGAGGATATATATGTAAATTGTTTGTATGATTTGTTGCAAATAATGAATCAACACTTTAAATAAAGCCTATTATTGTATTGCAAGTAAACTATAAACATCAAAGCGGAAGCATAAATCGCATACACTCAGAGACATGTCATTTGCTTTTTGATAGCAGTTACTATGCACTTTCAAATTTTATCAGATCCTATTCAAAGTATTTAGATTTTTACTCATCAAAACCTTATGAACCCTCTTGCTGCCAATGCCTTTTTGTGGTCCAGAAAATAAGGCAGCTTTGACAACTGTAACGTCATGTGCCAAACTACTACATCATTCGATATATTACATGTTATGTCACTCCCTAATGACATTACATTAGCTATAGGGAACAACCATTTAACTACAAGGGGGAGGGGGTTATATAAAAATATTCTGATCCCCAATTTGATGAAAAAAAATATTTGTGGTCATGCAAAAGACAAAAAAAAAAATATTCTGAATCCAGATTTTCCCCATACCTTATAGTGTTAAATTTTGAAAAAAATAATTTGATTGATAGCATCGAAAAACTAAATAAAAATGTTCGCGCTTTGCTTGCATACATTATACATATGGACATATGTGTCCCTCTTGCAAAGCCAGTGTGGACATGTGTCCATCTGTTAGCAAGAGGGTTAAATAAGTTTAATAAAGGAAACAATCATTTCACATTGGGGGTCTTTTTATGGTACTACACTAGCAATATCAGGGGTTGAAATTTGCTTTAAATAATGAAAGGTCCAGGACATTTGAAATTTTAATTTTTTTAAGTGAAAAGTCCTCCGTAAGAAATCAATGGTCGTGTAAAAAAATCAGTGTAAAGAAAAATAGGTCTCTGACTTTTGTAATTTAATAATGAAAAGTCCTCTCGTAGAAAAGACAGGTCCCTGACCTCAGACCCACACTAACTTGAATCTCTGAATATATAAAAAGCAAGAATAAATGTGTTTGTCACCTTGCGTAATGGATCTAAATATATAATCCTAGCCTTGTCACCTATTTTTAATTTATTTTTATTTCATTCAATGTACACAAATGTCATGAATGTAGTTGAATAAACAGTTTAGTAATTTCCTAATGTGGTGGAATTTACTTAATTTTTCGGTTGTTTTACCGTTATTGGATGAAATTATATAGCTAACAAAAAATTTGGACTCCCCCACAAATTGTTCTTAATAGGAGACTACTGAAAGTCAGTTACTCCCAATTAATTGTAAGTCCTGAAAAAGTCAAATCATTGGTGTACAGGAGGCATCTTTAGACATTCATCTCATTATAGATGTAGGAAAAATGTTATTTTTAAAGATAAAAACTGACTCACAGGAACGCCCAAAAGGAAAAATAAAATAAAATTCCTATGTTTTCACATCTTTTTCCATAAACATTTAAGCATAAAATTGAGGATGGAAATGGGGAATATGTCAAAGAGACAACAACCCGACCAAAGAGCAGACATCAGTATGTTTGAGCAAGTAACCGTGTGTGTATAGAATGCAAGATTTTTTAAAAATGTCTCTTGTAAATATATACATGCCAACGAACTTGAAAGTTGAATTTTAGAGGCAAAGCTGAACTCCGTGATATGTATTAAACATTTTTTAATTGATTTAAAACATTACTTTTTATACGACCGCAAACAAATTTTTGTGGTTGTATATTGGTATGAAGTTGGCGTCGTCGTCGTCTGAAGACACATTAGTTTTCGCACTCTAACTTTAGTTTAAGTGAATGGATCTCAATGAAATTTTACCATAAGGTTCAATACCACAAAAGGAAGGTGGGGATTGATTTTGGGGGTTATGGTACCAAAAGTTAAGGAATTAGGGGCCAAAAAGGGGCCAAAAATAAGCATTTTTGTAACTTCCAGACATAACTTGTGTGTAAGTGTATGGATCTCTCTGACATTGTACCACAAGGTTCCATATCACAAAGGGAATGCTGGGATTGATTTTGGGGGTAATTGCCTCCAAATTTTAGGAATTAGGGGCCAAAAAGGGGCAAAAAACAAGCATTTTTCTAGTTTCATGACAATAACTTGTGTGTAAGTGTATGGATCTCTCTGACATTGTATCACAAGGTTTCATATCACAAAGAGAATGCTGGGATTGATTTTGGGGGTAATTCCCTCAAAATTTTAGGAATTAGGGGCCAAAAAGGGGCAAAAAACAAGCATTTTTCTAGTTTCATGACAATAACTTGTGTGTAAGTGTATGGATCTTTATGAAATTGTACTACAAGGTTCCATATCACAAAGGGAAAGCTGGGTTTGAGTTTGGGGGTAATTGCCCGAAAAGTTTAGGAATAAGGGGCCAAAAATAAGCATTTTTCTAGTTTCCAGACAATAACTTGTGTTCAAGTGTATGGATCTCTCTGAAATTGTACTGAAAGGTACCATACCACAAAGGGAATGCTGGGATTGATTTTGGGGGTAATTCCCTCAAAATTTTAGGAATTAGGGGCCAAAAAGGGCAAACAAACAAACATTTTTCTAGTTTCAGGACAATAACTTGTGTGTAAGTGTATGGATCTTTATGAAATTGTACTGCAAGGTTCCATATCACAAAGGGAAAGCTGGGTTTGAGTTTGGGGGTAATTACCCTAAACGTTTAGGAATTTGGGGCCAAAAAACAAGCATTTTTCTAGTTTCCAGACAATAACTTGTTTTCAAGTGTATGGATCTCTCTGAAATTGTACTGCAAGGTACCATACTACAAAGGGAAGGCTGGGATTGAATTTGGGGGTTTGGGGGTGATGAATCATAAGGGGGTACAAAAAATTGGGGGGGAGTGGATTTTTTTTTCATTTTTTTTCTTTAAAATTTACCATTTTAAATTGGTTATTTCTGATTTATATATAAAAGCAAATAATAATGATATGGTTTGAATAGGTAAATTAAATATTTTTAAGTTCTTAGACCACTTTCATTCTGTGTCAGAAACCTATGCTGTGTCAAATATTTAATTACAATCCAAATTCAGTGCTGTATCAAGCTTGAATGTTGTGTCCATACTTGCCCCAACTGTTCAGGGTTCGACCTCTGCGGTCGTATCAAGCTGCGCCCCAGCGGAGCATTTTATTCCAATTTATAATTATTTCTTGTCACCACTGCATGTCATGATACATGTACATGACATTCATTAACCAACTAGTGCTGAAAAAGTGATACAGCATAACAATCTGTAATTTGTTCTTCACTGGTACAATGTAACCATGGTAACAGAAAATTGTAAAGTATGATTATCCCCCTTTTGCCCCCAAGCATGCCAAGTGCTAACAAAAGGCAAAATAATCAGTTATTATGTAGTATATAAAATATAGGATATCCAAAACACATAATTAATAGCGCCTAGTGATGATTTGAGTCATCACTAGGCACTGTTAATTGTGTGTTTTGGCATATCCTATATTTTATATGCAGCATATTTTTTCCCCCTGATTCACATATTTAACATGGCTTCCAATAACGAAAAGTTTCATTTGGAGCTACTGTGTTTAGAGACCTCTTATATCTGTATATCATAACTATATTACTTACGTGTACACAATGAGTTATTGTCCCACTTTGAACACTGTTTGTTTTACCCAAACTAGGATAACACTTTGATTTTTTTCTGTACCATAATACATTTTTTAGTAAATTACCAACTTTTTCAGAAAAATTTCAACAAACATTTTTGTTTCTATGACCATGATGACTTACACAATTTATTTAGCATTCTGGTTCAAACCTACTTTCCCTTATTATTTACAATTACTCAACGTGGTGACCTTGTGACATGAAAATAATTACATCATGATTATGTATTTTATATGTGCAGTTTTCTATTTTGTTTTTATCCTGATGATATTGCCAGGAGCACCGAAACATGTCAATCTCATTCATATCATTAGTTTACTCCAGAAATCTGTAAAGTGTTGTTATAATAGTCTTTACATCAGTGTACATTTAATATACATTTTTAATTGTAATATTATCAGATTATATACTTTTTTAAAATGGAACCCAAACAATAGTAGTATTTATATACTATGACTATAGTTTCTGGTCATATAAACTACAGAATTTATAATGTTCAATTTAAAACCGTTAAAGTTCAAATTACTTAAGTACATGTATAACTAAATGCACCACTTTTCAATTATTGTAAACATGATCAATCATGTGACATAATAATTGAATCATTATTATACCAATTCATTTTGATTAAATAATTTCAAAATATTTTAATTGCAGTTGTTATCCCCTTTCTCCTTTTATGCTTTTAAAAATGAAAAGGAAATAAAATCTGACAGGACCAATTGAATCATGTTGAAATAACACATGCGATGGTTGTCTGGCATTCAAGTTTCATAAGTGGAATTGTTATGATAGTTTAAAATCTTAGTAATTTAGAAACAAACTTCATTTCCAATTTAATTGTATCCTTTCCATTGTGTATTCTAAAAAACTTAAACCAAGTAGAAATCAAAATTGTAAATTACATATAAATCATTTCATACATGAAATACAACATGACCTGGGTTGGTACAGCAAACAAACAAATTTAAAAGGTCTTTTAAGTTGGATTTATTTCTGCATTGGACATAGAGTGCAGTATACAAAATGTATGAAAGTCAATGATTACACAACACAATGTGTAAAAGTCAATGATTACACAACACAATGTTTAAAAGTCAATGATTACACAACACAAATGTGTAAAAGTCAATTACACAAAACAATGTGTAAAAGTCAATGATTACACAACACAATGTATAAAGTCAATGATTACACAACACAATGTGTAATCATGGTAATAGTCAATGATTACACAACACAATGTGTAAAAGTCAATCGAATGATTACACAATACAATGTGTAAAAATCAATGATTTTACAACACAATGTATAAAAGTCAATGATTCCACAACACAATGTGTAAAAGTCAATGATTATACAACTCAATGTGTAAAAGTCAATGATTCCACAACACAATGTATAAAAGTCAATGATTCCACAACACAATGTGTAAAAGTCCATGATTACACAACACAATGTGTAAAAGTCCATGATTACACAATACAATGTGTAAAAGTCCATGATTACAAAACACAATGTGTAAAAGTCCATGATTACACAACACAATGTATAAAAGTCCATGATTACACAACACAATGTGTAAACATGTAAAAGTCAATGATTGCACAACAAAATGTATAAAAGTCAATGATTACACAACACAATGTGTAAAAGTCAATGATTCCACAACACAATGTGTAAAAGTCAATGATTACACTGTAAATACACAACACAATGTGTTAAAGTCAATGATTACACAACCAATGAGTAAATGTCAAAGCTTTTACAGTAAAACGATTTTCAGTTTTAACTCAGTTTCAGATTGAGTATAACAAATTTTGCAGATGCTGCTTTTTGTGACCAACCATCCATGTTGATATACTATTTCAATTAAATGGTAGGCTACAGACCAGAAGAGTATGAACTATCATCAAGAGAGTATGCAGCTGTTGGTGCTTTCTCTGGATTGGTAGCCAGGGTTGTCTGCCAACCATTTGATGTTCTGAAAATAAGATTCCAGGTACAAAAAATAAATGTATGAAAAGATACCTTTCCACTGTACATGCTGTATATAAATATTGACAGCTAGATTTACTTTTGATTGGTTGAGACTATATTCAAACATGAAATCAAACAAAACATCGTGTTACCCTCTGAACAAACAATGTGTTACCCTCTGAACATTGTGTCTACCTTGTGTAATTCAACAAACCATGTATGTAAATTTTTGCTTATTTTCAGGGAAAGAACGAAATCGCCAAAATAAAATCTGCCAATTTAAAAGTGCACATGCAATGGTATTGTATAAAAGTTTTGAATCCGCCAAAATATCTTGTATACCTTATTCAATGAAAATCGCGAAATTTTACACCTGCGAAAATAACCTGCTATACACTATTAGTTATTTCTTTTCAATCTTTTAACTGTAACTTTGAATATATAAGTAATTGTTCTTTATTCGAACATGTTTAGAATAAATGAATACTTCACATCTTATCATTTTGACCTCAATAATGTACAGGTAATTTAGCTATAATGATCTATAGCTATGAATTACAGGATTTGTAAGGTTTGTAAATGTTAATGAGACTGCAGGTACCCACAAAAAAGTTTTCCACAAAAAATTAATAACTTAATACTGCCTTCAACAATGGACAAACCCCTGCATCCTGTTGCAAGATCTAATTGGGATATATTCTCCTTTCATACAAATTTGAACTTTGTTATCAAATCCAAAGTTTATGGCTAATGAAAAATGCAAATAGTTTCAGAAACAGACACCATAACAGTTTTCATCAAGTATGACTTTAAACAAAATTAATTGTGGATGCACAGATCCCATTCATTGTACATGAATGTTTATGTCAATGCTACATGTAATTTATTGCATAATTAAAATGAACTACTATTTTTCAATTGGTATAGATATATATACATTTATTTGTATAATGTGATGCTTGTTCCATAAAAAATATGTTTGGTGTCTTGGAATACCTTTTCTTGTGCCAGAGCCAAATCCTTGTGTAAAAAAGGAGTTATCTTTCTTGTGGCATGAATTAGCTTAAGCTTTTGATTCTTTGTAGCTTCAAGTTGAACCTGTACGCAAACCAACAAATACAACATTTTCTAAGTATTGGGGAATCCGACAAGCATTCCAGTCTATTATTAAAGAAGAAGGAGTAACTGCTTTGTGGAAGGGGCATGTTCCAGCACAGATATTGTCTGTTACATATGGTCTAGCTCAGGTATACAAATATTGTTACAAATAGAACTACATATTTTATATACCCTGTTGTGAGTATGTCTGTCTATCCCTCCATCATTCTAGTTTTAAATGCCTGTAACAAACAGGCTTATAATGATATGCTGTCGTCCATATGTGCCACCATCTGTTCTATTTTTAGTTCACCCGGCCAAAAGGCCAAGTGGCTTTTTTCATCACTGTCCATCGTCGTTAAGTTTTACAAAAATCTTCTCCTCTGAAACTACCTGGCCAAATTTAACCCAACTTTTCCACAATATTATTGGGGTATCTAGTTAATAAGATGTGTCTGATGACTGTGCCAGCCAACCAAGATGTTCGACATGGCTAAGAATACTGTGGTTTCATTATTATTTGTTGGATACCATTTTTTGTGGATTTCGTGGGTATAGGTGAACCACGAAATTAAATATACAACGAATAATAAATTTTCTATTGGCTTGTATGCAGACTTCGGTAAAACCACGAAATCAAAAATCCACAAACATGCAAGTTAACCTTAATCCACGAAAATTGGTACCCACGAAAATAAATGAATCCACAGGGTTATACAGGGAAGGTCCCTTCAGATTTTGATAATTTTTTATACATAAATCTGGTGTTCTGAAGTTAATTTCACACTTTATAGAAAAAAAATTATTTTCAATTTTACATTTTTCTGATTAGTAGTTTAAGAGATATGGCACTTTGATATGACATTGAAGAGTTATGGAACTTTATTTGTTGAAAAAAGGACGGGTGTATCATGCGCTCATGGCGCAGTTCTTTATTTCATATGTCTCAAAAAACTCAAGTATGCCTTTGCAAATCATGAAATTTTTTTATTCAATTAAATAAACATTTATTTATTCTACATACTGTTATCTGCTCTCACTGTTTTAAAGATTGGCTATCAGGTGCACCTAGTGCAACTGTTTATATACTTTGGGTTTTATCATAAGGTATTTTCTGTTTTCCTAATATATAGGAATGGCCATGTCTGTCCGTCTCTCCTGCTTCATGTCAAGCACATAACTTTTGTACCATAGAACTTAGGTTAACCAAACTTAGTATGCAGTTTCATCATGGGCTGGGGGTATGTTGTATACCAAAGTCAGTTCACTCTAACCTTGACCTTTCGGCTTTGACTCCTATGTTAATAAAACCTTGTCCATTTCGTGTCTGGTGTTTAACTTTTGTACTTTAAACTTATACTAACCAAATTTGGTATGCAGTTGCATCATAGGCTGGATGTGTGTCATATACCAAAGTCAGATCACTCTGACCTTGACTTTGAACTTTGACCCCTATGGTAGTAAAACCTTGTCCAATTCCTGTCTGGCTCATAATTTTTGTACCGTAAACTAAGGTAACCAAACTTGGTATGCAGTTGCATGATGTGCTTGTGGTGTGTCATATACTATAGTCAGATCACTCTGACCCTGACTTTGACTTATATGATAGTAAAACCTTGTCTTATTTGCTTCCTGTGCATAACTGTTGTACCATATGATTTAGGTTGACCAAACTTGGTATGCTGATACATCATGGAATGGGGTGTATCACATATCAAAGGCAGGTCACTCAGACCTTAAATTTGACCTTTGACCCCTACAATTAGTAAAACATTGTCCAATTCCTGTTTGGTGCATAATCTATGTACTGGAGCACTTAGTGTGACAAAACTTTGTATGCAGAAGCATCAGACTGACCTTGACTTTGACCTTTAGTTCCAGAATTTACAGTAAATAAACCTCAGACTTTGATTCTGGGTCAGTATAGGGCTTTCAGATACACACATCAGTAACCATGTGTCAATCTAACACAGAGACAATGATTATATAAAAGGAATGGCTGAAAACCCAAAATCTCAATATGTCATTTCCTCAATACTGAATTTCATGGTAGCAACTAAAATGCATTAACGGGGGTATTAGTACCGCTATGGTGACAGCTCTTGTTTGTGTTTTTTTAAGCAGTTAAGCTGCTTCATGCGAGCACCCTAGATTTGTGTTCTACCCAATAAATGCTGAAATACGTGCCATTGTTATCATCTAGCTGGCTATTTTGTTATTTATAACTAATTAAACACTTTTTTCATGCTTTTAATTCTGGATTACAAAAAATATGAGCAGAAAAACCTTAAATGATCGTCGAACCACCCAAAAGTTTTGAAGTTGCACATAGGAAGAAGTGCTCAATAGAAATCCTTATGAAGTTTATTATCCCCTATGCTTTTGGCTAAAATGTCAAAGAACAATTGTATGAATTATTTCATCGCCGAAAATCTCTAATTACAAGTCGTTTACATTTGACAAATGGCAAAAAGCGCAGGAATATTGTATAATGGCTGGGACTAATATGACACGGAGTTGAAGTCTCAGTTGGCGGTAATTTTATCTTCGTCGACAATACGTAAATCAAGGATGTTTTAAATTTGGTGGATTCTGATAATACAAAGGTAATTATTACAAATAATATAATTTTATTTGAGATGAGTGTGATTATTAAAATCTTCTTAATTAAATGCATGCTCATTTGTGTAATTCTTGTTAATATTATTCCGTTTATCTCTTAACTGATCTTCATGCTTGTCAAAACAAGTTGTTGTATTTATGAATGAAATCAAACTAGAGATCTGATTGGTCGATGTCAAGGTCATTTCAAGATGGTTTCCTTTGTGTTTTTAATTCAGGCTTTGGTGTTACAGACTGCTACATGTGCTTTGATTTAGCTAAAGGTGCTTCAAACAATATTTAGATTAATACTTTATCAATAATTTGCTATAGGACGGCATTATTTAACTTCCAAAATCGCATATTTTTGTAAAATATTAAGTACAAATTTGTGATGCGTCTCACACCGTAATTGTTTTTGATTTACAATGATTTTTCAAATTTCCAGTATTTCTTCTTGTGAATTTTTCATATTTAAACACTCGTAAAGTGTTCTAGAATCATTTCGATGCATCTTTCAGCAAATAGGTATCAAAGGTACCATTGTAATTTAATACGCCAGACGCGCGTATCGTGCAACTTGGTGCTGGTTAACGACTTTTCCATGAAAATACTGCCAAAAAAATCGCATGATACGAAAAGAGGTAACGTTGTTAATAAATATTAAAATAATAAGTAAGCTTTACTTAGAGTCGGCAAGATATACAAACGTTGTACTTTAGACTTAGTCTTAACATTTTCAACAAGTTTAAACATTATTTATTTATTTGTATTTGTTTTTATTTCAGCTTTATTCCAATCTTTGGGAATGGCTAATACTAGAGGAGGCAAGGCATACATGTACAATACATGATTCTCTGTAGCAACTGGATTGTCTATTCACCACAATAATTCCCTAATAGAAATGAAACTCTAGACTACTATGATGTTATGAAGGTATTTACCTGTATATCTACATACCGGTATATGATCAACTTTGAAGATTGTTTATGCCAGGTCTCATGTGTTGACTAGTCCGACAAGTTTTGGTTCAGCTTTCTGACAGGAATTATTATAAACTTGCCAGCAGTTTCAACACATGAATATTATTTGTTATTATTATTAAGTGTGCCTATCGGTCTAGCAATTTTTAGAGACTGTTTAACGGTACTTTCAGAACTATGATCATGATATGTCAGAATCTGTGTAACTGTTACTACAAAAGGAGATATATTATTGTGCACTAAGAAGTATGCCAAGTTATCAGAAACTTTTTGTATGAAGTTATATAAAGATAGTTGGAATTCATGATATTGATGCATTGTACACATGAAATATTTTAGTTTAATTTATATTCTAATTAACAGTCCAAGAGTAACAATGAGTAAGGTTAAATTGTACCAAGGGGAATTACTTATTACCATAATTACACAGCAGTATTTTGATTGTGGATTCTTTTCAATTTTATTATTTACTGAATGCATATTTGTCACTTGTTTAATGCCTTGTTCACACATAAGTTTAATTTGAATTGAATGGGAACCGAGTTCACACAATCTTCTTTTTTTTATTTCGAATTGAATTCAAAGTCTAATGGGAATCGAATTCACTAATTGCGTTCACACACTCTTCTTTTTTTAATTCAAATCTAATTCAAATTGGCTAATTTGCAATATCGAATTCTCATTAGAAATACATTTTTTGTTAATACGAATTAATTTAATTTGATTAAATTGAATTCGATTAAACTCTGGTGTGGACACTTTTTAAATTGTAATTTGAATTAAACTATAACAAATTAATTGATAAATTGAATTAAAAGTTAACATCATTTGGACAGTAAAGCGATATTGATGCGTATTGCAATTCGAAGTAGAATTTACTTTTGGACATTAATTATGTTAAATCAGTTAATGCAAATCAAAATCGAATTATTTGTGAACGCAGCATTGATATATATATCTAAGAAATGAAGAATATGAAAATATTAAAAACAGATGGACAAAATTTATTGCAATTTTTGTCTTGCCTTGACAGAGTCGAACAGAGAGACATATATATATATACAAGTCGAAATTGAAAACAACGTTCTAACCTATGATTGCGTTGGATAAAAACCGCAATTTTTATACGTGTGCATGCAAAATAAATTTCTTGGTAGAGGGGTTTAAATACAGCACAGACAACATTTTCCAAAAGACCAAATGAGTGAAAAAGTATATTTTAACAAAGCTCATTTGACTAGCAGGTCGAACAACTGATGTTCTTAAACCCTGCTGACTGCCATTGGCGATTGCCAAATAAACAGATCACAAAATGTAACAACATAGATCTTATTTTTTTATTTATTACCAAACAGAAAACAATAAACTTGCGGACAAGATGGTATACCGCAAACATGAGGTGCTAAAATTTGTACACCATATCCGGATTTTGACAATTAATGTCTCTTCAGTGATGTTAGGAATCGAAACGGTATTTGGAAGGCCATATAATTTACCTCAATTTAGGACAGACTCTTGAATTTTGAAAGAGTCAAAATAGAATGAACGGATCATATAAACACGAAGGCAAATATATATATATATATATAGGCATGCTGTTTTGGCAGCATCAACAATGTATTAGTTTGTGATTTTGTGATAAGGTCTAGTTTATGGTAGGTCAATGATATTTGGTAAGCAGTTGTGTTAGTATAGGCACATCTCATTACAGTACCATGGAGAATATTTGGCCCCACCCCCTTAGTCATGGTCTATTGACTTTGAAACTTTGCATAGTTTTACTTACAAGTATAAGTTTGTGATTAGGTCAGTTTAGGGGAAACCACTAGTGGTAGGTCAATTATATTTGGTGTGCAGTTGTATAAACTTTGTCATTTCTAATTTCCATTGAGATTATTTGGCCCCGCCCCCTCAATCATGCTCTTTTTACTTGGAAACAAACGTTATTTTGAAATTTCATTTATTAGCTTTTGATTAGGTTAGTATTAGGGAAACCAATAGTGGAAGGTTAATGATAATTGGCCTGCAGATGTAGAAGTATTAGTAGGTCTCATTTCCATAGAGGATATTTGGTCCTTCCCCCTCAGTCATATGCATGATCTATTGACATTGAAACTTTTACTTAGTTTACATGAATTAGTTTGTGATTATTATGATTATGCCAGTTTAAGATTACCAGTAATTTTAAGTCAAAGCTATTTGGTATGAGAATGTATTGGTATTTAAAAGTTTCATTTCCATGGATATTATATAACCCCCAACCCCTCATTATGGTTCATTGACTTCGAAATTGAATTTGTGTTAAGGTTTGTTTAAAGGGAACGACTTATGAAAAGTCAATGGTATTTGGTAAGCAGTTGTATAAGCATTGGCGCATCTCATTTCCATGGAGATTGATAAACACTGTACCATCAGTCATGGTTCATTGTCTTTGAATATTGCTTACATGTTAATGTATTTCTATTATAATTGTAACATTTGCATTATCAAAATAACAAATAGGCAAAACATGTCTCTGTGTTAACAGCTTATTATAGATTAGACAAGTACAAATATTATGAAAATAAGAAGATGTGGTATGATTGCCAATGAGACAACTATCCACCAAAATTCAAATGACTTGGATGTAAGGGAGCTACCATTTGATTTTTATGGGGGGGCTAGGATGAAAAATTTTGTCCTGCATTTTTTTTTAGTTGTAATCTCTGTCCTGCATTTTTATTTTTCACTATATTCCGTCCTGCATTTTTTTTTTTAAAGTTTATCCTGACTTTTTTTTTGCAAGTGTCTCATCCTGCCTTTTTTTTGCAAGTGTCTCATCCTGCCTTTTTTTTTTACTCAAAACTCCTGTCCTGCCAATTTTTTTCAAATTTCATCCTAGCCCCCCCATATGTTGCATCATTGCTAGGCCAATATAACAACATCAGCATTTATTGTAAATTACACCAATTCAGATAGTTTCAGGTATGATTAGATAATTGTGCATAGTGGCACCAGCTGATCCAACTAAAACCACTAATATGGCATATTCAATTATGTACATAGTAGAATTAAACCATACACCACTGTTGGACACCATTATTGAAATTATTATTCTGATAAGAATATTCCTCCATGCAGACCGCAACAATTAGCAAAACCTACATGTATACTGCATAGTAAGCTATAAACGACCTCGAAATGACAAATGTAAAACAATAAAACTAAAGCAGCCTGATTAATGTACAAAGCAATTATGAAAATTAAATATGATACACATGTATATATACAGCAACAATCAACAATCACCAAACTCCTGGGTCCTCACTATGGACAGGTGCATACAGAATGTGGCGGGTTAAACATGTTAGCTGGCACAAAACTCTCCCCTAATATGGGACAGTGTATGTGCATAATCTCAGACATTGAATCTTTAAAAAATAAATTGGAAATAACTTTCGAAAGTGGTAGGATTGGATAGCAGAAACATTACAATACAAACATTATTTGATACTTGAGAAATAGCTGAGATAAACATTTTCACCAATTCTTCCACAATATTCATCTTAACATCTGCCAAGTTTGCCTTTGGTTTTATAATTAACTGCCTATAGCGCCCTTGGTGCTTTGATTTTTACAAATTGAAGCCAGCTTTTTATTGAATGAAATCTCAGTATTAATTGTCAGATAAGATGGTCAATTATTACATTGTTGATCAAAACATTCCCTAATGATAAGACAGTTTCATATGACAGAGCATTTTGTATTTCATTTAAGTTTTCAGTAATATGCATAACTCATTCTGTGTTTTTTAGTTTGCATCATTTGAGTTGCTGACCTCTGTAGCCTGGAGATTGTGTCCACATGAGTTGACCACGAAGCATCGTCCAATAGTCCACACTGTTTGTGGAGGTCTAGCAGGATGTATAGGTATTACTGTAGCACAACCAATGGATGTACTAAGGACTAGATTCGTTGCTCAGGGGAATGACAAGGTAAGTACTAAGAGTAGCAATTCACACAAAGTCTGTGGCAACCAATAAATGTATTAAGTAAAAATAAGAAGATGTGGTATGAATGCCAATGAGACAACTCTCCATCCAAGTCACAATGTGTAAAAAGTAAAGAATTATAGGTCAAAGTACTGCCTTCAATGGGAGCCTTGGCTCACACCGAACAGCAAGCTATAAAGGGCCCAAATATGACTAGTGTAAAACAATTCAAACAGGAAAACCAACAGTATTATCTATATAAAAAAAGAAAAACGAGAAACACTTTAGAACCACATCAACAAACGACAACCACTGAACAACAGGTTCCTGACTTTAGGACAGGTGCAAACAAATGCAGCAGGTTGAAATGTTTTAAAAAGGCCTAGATTTGTTGCTCAAGGAAATGACAAGGTAGGAACCTAGTCTTAGCAATTCACACAAAGTCTGCTGTGGCAACCAATAGATGTATTAAGGACTAGATTTGTTGCTCAAGGAAATGACAAGTTGTTAATTACTGTGTCATAATTTGGTTTATTGGTCAGATTAAAAATCAATAGGATTAAGTACAGGACATTGACCATAGGATATATTGTTTATGACAGAAAGAGGAACATTAAATTTTCACACCTTCGACTATGAAAATTATTGACACACTTTTGATAAGGTAGCTTGGGTAAGACACAATTTGCTTTTCAAATAAAATTTGATAAATTGCTGTTAAAGCTTTTTTGTTTACTTTATTCTGGACAAAACGACAGTTCTTTGTAAAAAATTATACAGGGAGAATGGAGGACGCAAATTGTATTTCAAATAAAATTTTGTTGTTTAAGCATGTCATTTTGTTTATTCTGGAAAAAAACGATATTTTTTTCGAAATAAAATTTTACTCAACAAAATGTTAAAACAAGGAGCTGGGAGGACACAAATTGCTTTTTTGGTTACAAATTTGATTTATTGTAGTTTAACATGTTTAAGCATGTTTTTGGTTCTAGCTTGGGCTGCAAACATCATAAGCATGTTTCGTTTTTTTTAAATAATTTTCTGCTTATTGTGTCTTGATTGGGGAAAATAACTTATAATCAGTTGTACATGTAAAGGCTTTGAATACCTTATAAAATTCCAACAAGAAGTTATAAAGTGTAAAACAAACAAATAATTAGTTGCCTTTGTCCTGGCTTGCGATCAAAGTTTTTAAACGAACACTTTAACCTAGGATGACCAAGCACGGATTTGACATTTAAAAACATTTTCTATGAATTTTATTTTATCTTTTGTTTTATTATTATTCAAACAGAGATCCACAAATTAACAAATCTGCAACATTTTTTTTTTATTTTTGAAACAGCAATCCATGAATTTATGTGTCCCACAAAATGTTTTTTTTCTCTATCCACAAAAAATTGATACCTACAAAAAAAAAAGGAATCCACAGTATTACATTTTGAAACAAGGATGACACTGGTGATGGCCATTTGTTATACCAAAATAATTAGGCCAAAGAAATACATATGCTTGTTTCCTGTCTCCACGTTGAAAAAATTGGGTAGGTAGGTAGGGAATTTATTTTATTTTTATGGCCCCGCAACAAACTGGTCAGGGTCATATAGTTTTACCCTTATGTGTCATTTTGCAACAAACAGTTATACAGACTTTTTTTCGAAATGACTTCACATATTCAGCTGTGTTTAGTATGTGTGTCTACTAAGAAGAGTGTCAGATCGAGTTTACGTCTGGTTTTGCTTTGCTGATTTGTGCCAAAATTACAGGATTTGGACTATGAAAATTTCGTGAAAATAACAGTTATACTCACTTTCATTTTCGATTTCCACTCCTAAAAATGGATTCAAGCTTTTTTTGCGAGCGGGGTCATTCTTGTCCGTTGTAAGTAAGTATTACTGAACACTTTAGGAGAGAAGAAAGCTAGATACACCATTTTTATTTGGTAATTGTCTGATTCAGTAATGGACGTTTAGCTCACACCTCCAAATGTGTTTCAATATTGCTAAGACACCTATACCTGTAGATTTAAGTTGGATAATTATAATATTTATTTTTCCTTTTAAATTTGTAATAATATATTTCATATAGCTAACGGGTATAAACAGAATGAAAAACTTTATTCTGGTAGAAGAACTGTTAAAAATAAACATGTCAGAGTTAAATCAAATGTTCAAAACGGACTTTATTCTTTATTTCTGACGGATTCAGACAACTTTTCCACAAATGCACAAAATACAAATTTTGATTGGAGGGTCTGAAACAGCATGGATGCAGGAAACAAGCATATATCTTTTTTTGCCTTATCAATACGATTTCATTGCTTCTGGTTTGTATAGTTTTATCCATATGTATTTATATAAGTAGTTCCAAAAAGTATTGAATTATCTATGAAATTTGGTTTTCATCATGACATTTTACCTTTTTATCAGCTGGATTCGTGTACTTTTTTGACTTTTTTGTTTTAGATATATTCCTCATTATATTCAGGAATTCAAACCATGATCAAAGAAGAGGGTTTCCTAGCTTTTTACAAAGGACTTGGTGCTGCTGTTGCACAAATTGGACCACAGATGGGTCTACAGTTTGGATTCTTTGCTTTATTCACAAGAATGTGGAGACAATGGTTTGAAAATCCCAATCGTAAGAGGGCAGGTAGAGAAATTAAAGTATTTCTGTTGCATCTTTTAATAAATAAACAGGCTTCAGTTGATATGAAATCAAGACTTTAAAAAATTCTGATTCTTTATACTATGACAAATGCATCTTTAGTATCCATGAAATAGTTTATAAATATTTACAAAAATGTTTTCAAAGAGTAACAAGTTTCAAGTTTTATGCCCCACCTACGATAGTAGATGGGCATTATGTTTTTTTGTCTGTGTGTCCATTCGTTTGTTCGTTTGTCCATTCATTCGTCCATCGGTTCATCCGTCTGTCCCGCTTCAGGTTAAAGTTTTTGGTCAAGGTAGTTTTCGATGAAGTTGAAGTCCAATCAACTTGAAACTTTGTATACATGTTCCCTATGATATGATTTTTCTAATTATAATGCCAAATTAGAGTTTTGACCCCAATTTCACAGTCTACTGAACATAGAAAATGATAGTGTGAGTGGGGCATCCATGTAATATGGACACATTCTTGTTTTACTCCCTGTCTTAAAAGATGGTGGAAGACTGTCATCCTTTTGTAGCTAACTTCATCTGTCTTACTTTTGGTTGAAATTTACATCGCTCTACAAATTTGAATCTATTGTGGAGGATTTGTCACTTTTACCATCCCCAATTTTCTGAAAAAATTGGAAAGTATATGAGGCAGAGATATCTGTGATTCAAAAATAAGTGTTACTCAAGATTTTATTTCAATAACCAAGTGTTTGAATCAGATGAAATATAAGATAATTTGTGCACTTGTTTTGCATGTTCTGTACAATGTTTATATGTAGTTTCATGAAGGCAAATAGAAATTGAAAACTGGTTAAAATTACAAAAATATCAAAAAACATTTTAATTAGAAATTTGACCAAAAGTTGTTTTTTAACAATATTTTATTATTTTAACAGTTGGGCCTTCTTAGTTATATCATTTATGTGGTTTCATTGCAAACAAAACAATTTAATCTCAATTTAAATGATTTAATCAGATTTTTGAATTGTAGGTGTATCAGAAGTCTTAGTATGTGGATCCAGTGCAGGAGCGATTGCAAAAACATTAATCTACCCTCTGGACGTCATTAAGAAGAGGTTAGAAATACAGGGTTTTGAGAAAGCCCGGAAAGGTTTTGGTGCAGTTAGACATTATAATGGACTTTGGCACTGTATGATTACAATAATGAAGGAAGAGGGAAGTGTCAAAGGTCTATATAAAGGACTTTCTCCAGGGTTGATAAAAGGTGGATTGGCAGCTGGTGCTAACTTTTTAGTTTATGACCACGTTTGTTACTTGTTAAGAAAATATCATTCTTCTTGACAAAATAGTTAGGTAGGTTATGATTTTAGACAGTGTTCTTTTCTGTATTTGTTAGGTAGGTTATGATTTTAGACAGTGTTCTTTTCTGTATTTGTTAGGTAGGTTATGATTTTAGACAGTGTTCTTTTCTGTATTTGTTAGGTAGGTTATGATTTTAGACAGTGTTCTTTTCTGTATTTGTTAGGTAGGTTATGATTTTAGACAGTGTTCTTTTCTGTATTTAGGCAATCTCATTTTATTGTAAATCTCAATTTCATAGAAAAGCACCAGATATTTTGTTTTATATTGTCATTGGTTTTTTTGTTTGTTATTAAACTAATGAAATAATTAGATGTTGAATTGAACATGAATTTGAAAATTATTGCACACATTTATTATGGCGATTTTTTGAAGAATGAAAAAAAAAATGTTAGATTTTATTATTGCCATCTTGATGTTGTTTTGTTATTTTTGTTGTTGTGATGGTGTCTCATTAACATATACATCATACATCCTTTTAATTTTTTGACTAAAAGTGATGAATACAGTTCTAGTTTAGAATGGAAATGGGGACTGCGTCAAAGAGACAACAACCCGACCAAAGAGCAGAAAACAGCACAAGGCCACCAATGGGTCTTAAACACAGAGAAAAAAATCCTGCACCCAGAGGCAGCTTCAGCTGGCCCCTAAACAATAATGTATACTAGTTCACCGAAAAAAAAGATGTCACACTAAACTCCGAAACATATAAATAAACCAAAATTAAAACAATAGACAAGACTAACAAAAGTCTGGAGTTCCTAACAGGTGCAAAAATGCAGTGGGGTTAAACATGTTTTGTGAGAACGAAAATATAAAAATAAGGAGATACGGTATGTTTGCCAATGAGACAACTATTCACCAAAGACCACATGACGTAAACAACTGTAGGGCACTGTACATCTTTCATCAATGAGCAAACCCATACCACATAGAAAGCTATAAAATACCCCTTCATGACATGATGTGAAACAATTAAAAAGAAAATTAATGATAGAAACAATAAAAAAACCACATAAGGCAGACTGCAACAAACAACAGTCCATTATGCTGTTATGTACAACGTGTTCCGAGACCTTGCATGTGATGGAAGTTAGAGATACAGGTATTTCATTCGATGCGAACTGCATATTGTTTTTTTTGAAAAGTGAAACTGTATATCCATCTCTCCAAATATATGTGACTTCGCCAATGTTCAGTGATGTTTCATACAGTTCTGTAAGAATGGGAGCAAGTTGGTGTGTTGCTGCTTTCAGTATAAAAGATGTAATTGAATCAGGACCAGTGGCTTTATGAGGTTAAATGTTTTTTTGACAGTTATTGGACTTTTATGCTATTTTTGATATCCTCCATGGCGAAATGTGCACTTCCTACTAAGGTTTTTTGGTAAATACTAACGAAAAGTGATCATTCAGAATGTCAGCATTGCTATTGTTGTCTTTTTTAAAAGGGTTTATGCAATCAAAACCTTGCGTTGCTGGCTTGATAGTTATCAATTTTCCATACTTACTAATTTTGAGAAAGAACAAACAGTGCATAGAGCACAACATTCTATACGTCATATCCATGAACATTTCAGGAATTTACCAAAGCAATAATATGCTCAGATATTCAAGTTACAAAATGATGTATAACCATACTTGTCATGAAAATAAATTTTCTGACCCAGGAATAGATAACCTTAGCTGTATTTGGCAAAACTTTTAGGAATTTTTGGTCCTTAATGCTTTCAACTTCGTACGTTGTTTGGCCTTTTTAACTTTTTTGATTTGAGCGTCACTGATGAATCTCATTTAGACGAAACAAAACATGTATCTGGCGCACAATCCTATGATCATCTTAAACTGTATGAAATCTTAAATTTTAGATTGAAATTAAGCTATACAGTTTGATATTTTATAATTTAAAAAAAAAAAATCAGTATTAATATCTAAAATAGGGTTTAGATAATATTTTTTCTGTTCCTATGTCCAGCATTTTCCCAAAGGAGATTTGAGCAGTCCAGTATATTTGAATTTAGTAATTATCAGACAGGTAGGTCATTTTTCTACTAGTAAGATTATAGTGTTCATTTATTTGATCTGCTATGAAGGCTACTCTAGTTTTCTCTAATAGTGTACATTTCAATAGAAAATGTGGCAAATCTTCATCTTCTTGTCCACATTGAAGGCAGGTAGCTTCAACATTTATTTTGATATATTTTCTTGGAGAATATCGGTTCCAATTACTAGTTTTAACTTGAAGGGAATACGATTTATGTCTGATGCAGATGATGTTTGGATATACATCAGAGGGTTTTCCAAGATTGTATTCTTGAACATTTAAGTATTTTATATTTCTATATAGCTTGGAGATATCTGCAAAGTAATTTTTCCAATATTTATTTATCATTATAGATTAAGTTTTTCCATTGGATTTTGAAATATGAGTGTCTAATAACAGATAAATTTCTGGAAGATCATATTTACAAATAATTTTCGTTACCTTTATGAACCAACTGTGACTATTTTGTTCTTTGACAGGTAATTGTCTACTAGATATTTGTATGCAGTTGATTCCTTTGGAGGTTAACACATTCTATAGAAGTAGCTAAAATTTTAATATGTATTTGTTCTTCAATTGGCATAATTCAGAGATAATGTATGGTACAACATCAGGAAAATTTTGCGTTAGGACAATATTTGTTTAAGTAATTTATTGAAGAATAATCAAAATTTTTCAACGTTTAATTTTGTTGGTATCAGTATCTCTAATCCATAGACATGATGGAGTACCGTTGGTATGACATATGTTTTGATTATATAAATGCAAGAACTAGGATCTAAACCATTGTTTCCATGAAGTTTTGCAGACATGTGACATATTGCTGTTCTTCTACATTTTTTTAGCTCACCTGGCCCAAAGGGCCAAGAGAGATTTTCTCATTACTTGTCGTCGTCTGTCGTCGTCCGTCGTTAACTTTTACAAAAATCTTCTCCTGTGAAACTACTGAGCCAAAGTTAATTAAACTTGGCCACAATCGTCATTGGGGTATCTAGTTTAAAAAAATTTGTCCGATGACCCGGCCCACCAACCAAGATGGCTGCCATGGCTAACTATAGAACATTTTAACAATTTTTCGTAAATTTTTGTAATCTTTTACAAAAATTTTCTCATCTGAAACTGATGAGACAAATTTAACCAAACTTATCCACAATCATCATTAGGGTATTTAGTTTAAACTAGATGTGTCGGAACGACACGAATGGCCCCGTCTCAAAAAGTTTTAAAATCTGCAATTTCAACAACACATGTGGACACAAACATGCATGGATAGTATCCAGCTCTCAAGACCAATACTAGTTTGATGAAAAATTTCCTTGATCAATGAGTTGTTGAATTTCAAACTATCAGCAAACAGGTAGTGGATGTACTGAAGATGTGTTGAAACGACATAAAAATCAGCATATAAGAACGAAACATAAACTTGATCAGTAACTCATCATGGTAGACTCACATATCAAACATAAGTGCAAAATCTGAAGGCGTGTAGAAAAAAATTCCGTATAACTGTGATTTTCAACAATTTTAAAAGTCCAAAACCCATAATTACGGCAAAAGTCAGCAGAGCTCAGCGAAACTTAAACTTGATTTGTAACACACCATGGTTAACTCACATACCAAAAATCAGCCCAATATCTGAAGTCGTTTAGAAAAAAAGTCCGTATAATGGTTTGCTGCGGAATGACGGAATGATGGACAAGGGTAAAACTATATGGCCCGACAACTTTGTTGCTGGGCCATAAAAATGTGTCCGATGACCCCGACTGCCAACCAAGATGGCCGCCATGGCTAAAAATAGAACATAGGGGTAAAATGCAGTTTTTGGCTTATATCTCTGAAACTAAAGCAAAAGTATAACAGTTGCATTATTTCATGCATCAATTGTAAACAAAAATATCAGGTGAGCGACACAGGCTCCTTGGAGCCTCTAGTTTATGTTTTCGTTGATGGTATTATCTATAGTTTCAATTTGGAATTTGATCTATGAATTCAAAGACGTGTTGCTGTTTCAACAACTGGTCATTTCGTGACTTTAACTTTAGCTCTACTGATTTATATCGTTTCTTCTTTTTGTTAACCATCTCAACTTCGACGCTTTTTTGTATGTTCATCACAGCTGTATTCATATGCCATCTTTAAGAGTACTTGATTGAGCTTCATTTGGAACTCTTGTGTTTAACGTAACATCATCTGCATTTGCTGTAGCACAGTATGGTTTGTGGACAATTTTGCTTCCTAATCTTGACTGCTGTAGGTGATGTAACAGTGGGTCTATATATATTTTATAAAAATCTGCGCTGAGAATACCACCTTGACGTAATCCATGTGAGATGAGAAATTCATTTGACATTTTCCATTAAATTTTATTACAGATCATGATGTGAAAGATGTTAATTTGTGTAGATTGTCGATGCGATTCCAATGTCTATCTTGTATACCGAGATGATATAGCTTACGCATTAAATTTTCATGCACTACAACATCAAATGCGGACTTTGCATCTAACACAACAATCAGGATGTGTTCCAGATCTAAGGCTTCCCTATTTACTTCTTCTACAATGAATGGTACATTTAGGGGGCATAGTTTTTAGTGAAGCCTCTTTGCAGAGTGCACTGAGGTGGTATACTTCTTGGACGAATTCTTAATTTTTAGGATAGACTCAATAATTATGAAGAATACTGGCAGCACTGTGATACCACAATAATCCTTGATTTCTTATTTTTAAATACTGGAGATAGAAGTCCGGTTTTACGTAAATCTGAAATTGAATAAACTCACCATAGATACAAGGATTGAAATTGTGTACGCCAGACGCGCGTTTGTCTAAAAAAGACTCACCAGTGACGCTCGAATCAAAAAAGTTAAAAAGGCCAAATAAAGTACGAAATTAAAGAGCATTGAGGACCCAAAAAGTTTTGCCAAATACAGCTAAGGTAATCTATTCCTTGCGTAGAAAATTCTTAGTATTTAAACTCTTTTTGAAAATGTACACAATAGAAGTTGATAAATTAAACCTATAAGGTTGTCGCCTGCGTATATAAAATTTTCAACAGTTAAGTTAAATGAGTCGAAAGCTTTTTCTTTCTTCGTTGATTCCAAAGCTTTGTAAATATCAAATTTTGTCTTAATTATTTGTTTATTCGGTTATAATGTCTTTGTCATATTTAGATTTGTTTGTATTTTCACATATAAAGTCATCATCGTTAGTCGGGACTGCTAAATTTGAAAAGTATTCTCTAAAGCCTTCCATAATATTGTCTTTGCCAGT